TCCAAGAAAGTCTTCAAAACCTTCTCTTCCTTCAGATTTAAGGATGACAAGTACCTGAAATTGAAGGAGAAGTATAACAAGATGAAAAACCACAATTGGAAAGGAAAAGGTCTAATCACTAAAGATCATGACTAGGTGGACTCTTTTGATGAATCCTCCTCCATTGAAGAAGATATAGTCTATCACTGTCTTATGACCATGATCAAAGAAGTTTAGAACGAACCATCTGAAACTTCTTCCTCAACAGAATCTTCGTGTACTTCTTAGATACCAAATCTGAATGATCCCTCTTTAACCGATGTTGATAGACATTCAACTCTTGATTTACTGACTATTGATCTCTATAACGTTTTGAATGACAAAAGTAAAGATGAAAAACTCAATATCTAATTGAACAACTACACAAATTCCATACAAAAATCAAGGAGTTAACTAAAATTGAAAACAGTCTTAGAGATCAAGTCAATGTAAATCAAATAGTCAGCATTGAGTGTCAACAATCCATTATTGAACTAAAAGCTGAGAAAGCTATCGTTGAAGGATGGTGCAATGTCTCAGTTCAGGTAACTGAGATAATTGATTCTCATATACCAGCTCAGGTTAAAAGTTGTCTAGGATATAGTTTTGAAAAGGATAATCCTAACAGAGATCATTCCATACTCAAGTTTGGAATGTTTGTTTCCACTATTTACCTGACACATCTTCTACTTAGTGCTCTTCTACTTCTAAATCAAAACCCATCACTGAGAAAACTCATAAGAGTTTAATTTTTTGGAAAAAGGTAAATTTATTTCTAATATATCTCCTAAGACCAAAAAGGCTCCAAAGCATAAGTCTTTAGTTGATCAACCTTCAACTTCTGGTAAGAAGATCTATTTCTCTAATTAGAGAGCAACTCCAAATCTAAAAGTTGACCTCAACCCAAATAAATCTGAAAAACCTAAGATTCCTCAAAGATCAATGGAGAGAGGCATTCTTGGTGCTGGTCCTGTCCATCTTAAATTTTCTAACTCCTATGCCTTTGGTCCTGTCCATCTTAAATTTTCTAACTCCTATGCCTTTGGTCCGAAAGCTTCTTTCAGCTATAGAAAGTTATCACTATGGTGAAACCTCTCATATCGCAATAACTGTTCTAAAGCCACCAAAGCTAATAAATCATCTAAGGTGAAGAAATCTGCCAAAGCTGAAAATCATCTAAAGTGAAGAAAACCACTAAAGCTAAAAAATCAACTAAAGTGAAAAGAAGTCAAAACCTCCATATCCACTAACTCGGTGGGACCTATTGAAAAATGAGTACCAAAAATAAAATTAGTTTTTCTTATGATTGCATGACTTAATAGGAATTCAGTATCGGGATATTGGATGCTCCAGGCATATGATCGGAAATAAGTCACTACTCACTGAATATAAGGATGAAAAAGGTCCCTCTATGACCATTGGTGGAAATGGAAAAGGGGTACACCAGAGGTTTTGGTGTATTGACTAACAGAGTAACTACCTTTAGAATAGTTGCTTATGTCGAAAGACTAAAGCACAACTTCCTCAGCATTAGTCAATTGTGTGATGAAGACTTCTTAATGAACTTCTCAAAGAAGACTTGTACAGTTAGTGACAAGGATGGAAAACTTAGCTTCACTCCACTGGTACTTGTATGGAAAATGTCGATGTTATCAACATGGATTCCTCTCTTACTGAAAACATATGTTTTCTTTCTAAAGCCTCTTTAAATATCAACTGGTTATGGCACAATAAGCTCTCTCATCTCAATTTTAAAACGCTGAATGATTTATCAAGAAAGGAACCAGTCATAGGACTTCCTCAGTATTCTTATGCAAAGGAATCTCTTTGCTTAGCGTGTGAAAAAGGAAAGAAAACCAAATCCAGTTTCAAATCAAAACAAGGCTCTTTAGTTAATTGGCCATGTCAATATACAATCCATTGCTAGAAAGAAGTATACCCTCGTTACTATTGACGAGTTCTGTAGATATACTTGGGTCATCTTCCTCAGATTCAATAAAGACACACCTGAAGAAATCATTTCCTTTGTAAGGAAAATGGAAGTACTGAACATCTAAACTGTTTGCCCAATAAGAAGTGATCTTGGTACTAAATTTAAAAATAATACCTTAGATAACTTGTTTGAGAGCAAAGGAATTTCTCACAGTTTCTTAATTGTAAGAACGACACAAGAGAATAGAGTCGTTGAGTGCAAAAATCGAACCACTACTGAAGTTGCTCGCACAATGCTCAGTCAATCCCATTTTCCAACTCAATTCTGGGCGGAAGTTGTCAACATTGCATGCTTTAATCAAAATCGTTCACTGATTGTCAAATGGTTGAGGCAGACAACATACGAACTCTTTCACGGAAGAAAGCCGACTCTCTGTTTTCTTCATATCTTTGGTTGTAAATGTTATATTCTCAACAATAGGAATTGGGTAAACCCCCATGGCACCTTCTCTAACACAATGAACAAGGATTCTAATAGGAAACCTGTTAATGTTACTACCTATAGAGGGATGATCAGCTCCTTGTTGTATCTCACAACTAGTCGACTAGATATCATGTACTCTACATGTCTTTGTGCACGATATAAATTTGAACCCAAAGAATTACATTTTATCACTGTAAAACAAATATTCAGATACCTGAAGGGTACACCTAACATATGTATTTAATATCCCAAAGACTCAAGGTTTGATCTAATTAGGCATTCAGATAGTGATTTTGCAGGTTGTAAGCTGGATAAAAAAAAGCACCATTAGAGGCTGTCAGTTTTTTGGTGGAAAGTTGATGAACTGGATAAGCAAAAAGAAAAATATAGTGTTCACATCAACGACTAAAGCTGAATACTTCTCTGTTGGTAGCTGTTGTGCTAAAGTCATTTGGATGAGAAATACACTCATTGATTATGAGCTTCAGCTATCAAAAATCTCTATCTATTGCGATAGTACTAGTCTATTGTCATAGCTAACAATCATGTTCTTCATTCAAAGACTAAACATATTGAGATCATGTTATGAACGATGATATTAAACTTCACTGAGTACCAACTCGCTGACATGTTCACAAACCCCCTTGATGAAAGAAGGTTCAACATTTTAATCGGCGAACTTAGAATGTTGAACGATGATGATTAATCCTTAATTCATAAGTATTACTTTGAGAATATCTCACTATTCTTATTCTATCAATGAACTCTTCTTAAATATATCTTTATCTCCCAGGGTTCATCTTTCTTTCTCTATCACTGAAAAGTTTGTCCTGGTGATAAACTACTCATGCAGTGATACTCGTTCAAAACTTAAAACAATCACTGAACTCTTTCCTTTACTAGTGATAAAAATGATTTAAAAGATAATGCATAGTCATTTTAATGATGATGTCATTAAAACGGAAAAATAGTTGTTCATACTCTGACACACGACGGCCATTCTCATTCCCTAACTAATGAAAACCTAGGGACGTGGCAAAAACCACCATAATCTTACTTTTCATGAACCGTCATTATTTCTCTCTTCTTTATCTCTCATCTCACCTATAAATAGTCTTCTCACACCCTATCTCACTCTTTACGCTCTCAAAACTTCTTGTGCACGAACTCACTTTCTAAAGCAAGAACACTAAGAACACGCACTAGCTTTTCTCTACAAACCTTCAAGATTCAAGGTTTGTTCTTTCATTTTTTGTGTTTGTTTTTCTTTTCTCTTCTTTAAAGGAAACGAACATTCTTCTAAATAAAAAACAACTCGCACACACTCCCTTTCCAAAAAAGATCAAGACCCCAAAAACCATTTTTTCTTTTTGGTTTTATAAAAACAATCTTTGTTTTACAAAAAACACCAAAACTTTTGTGGTATCTTTATAAACCCTCAATTTTTTACACTTCAAACTTCATAGCAAAAACACTATGAAGGTGCAAAACATTGTGAAGGTATAAAATTTTCATCTTCACAGTGTTTTGCTGTGAAGTTTAACCCTTGTTCTTCCAATACTCCATATTATGTTTTGTTTTCCAAAACAAAACCACCACCTCTTTTAGAATTTTCTTGTGCCAAAAAGTTCCTCTTCCCATTTCTTTTTCTTCTAAGCCATAAATGGAAGCAGCCAAAAACATGACCTTTGCTCTCGCAGACTATGCCTTTAAGGCAAACAACCACTTGGCCTTACTTGAAGCAACTGATGACAAGCCTCGGTTTAAGGACGCATCCAACTTTCTCAAGAATTGTGTTCTCAACCATGCTCTAACCTTCAAGCCTAAGTCTCCAGGGAATTTCTCCAAAAATGACTTATTCAATAAACTTTTAGGGAATAAAGAAAGTCAAGTTTTTTTCCCTTATAAATTTACCCTTCCAATTAAAAAAACACTCTCTTTTAATTTATGAAAAAACCATCTTAAATATAAAAAAGAACTTATCAATCTATACAAACATATAATTTACATAAACAACTTTATTAATGGATTAAAAATTAACCAAACAACTACTTAAAGATAAACCATAAGGGTGGTGCCTGATTGGTATGAGTTTGACTCCAAAGGTCAAAAGTACCTGTAGATCTCAGGTTCAAATCCAAAGAGGAATAAAAATCCCCTTATGGCCACGGAGGTTCAAATGCGATGACTCCGGGCTATCTGCAAAGCAGGTGATCGTCCTGGGATTAATCGACTCTTATAACGGGTTGAATATCCAAGTTAATAAAAAAAAAGATAATGTATATACAAATCAGCAATCACTAGAAAGTTTTTACTTGTTAAAAATGCTTACGATTAAGGAGCTTTTTACAAGATTTTGTTGAATTATTATATTTAACATTAAATATAATAATAACTATAAAAATAATTTATTTATTTAATAAAAAATAATGATAAAGACATAAAGGAAAATAGAAAAGGTCACAGTTTCCCTTTCAACACACCACAAAATACGCGGTCCATATCACTCCCCCGTATAAAAGAGACTCTCCATCCCTTAGGGTTTCAAACATTCCTCACCCTCTCATCTCAACTCCCATTTTCCATTTTCATCTGTTCTTCACTTCAATTCTCGATTTTTACCATCTGGGATTCCAAGATTCTTGCTTCTTCCTAAAATTTCTCAAAACCCATTTCTCAATTCTCAGATCAAACCCCTAAATTTCTGCGCTTTTGAGCTCAATTGGGTCGTTTAGTGTCCCCTGAGTTTCCATTGGTGATCAGTCAAAAAGCTTCACTTTTGTGTGTTTAATAGTTGTTTGAGTTCTTCACCAAATTTGAGGGATTTCCTTTTTTGGATGTGAGAAGAAAAAATGCGAACAGATTATCAAGGCTCTTCGTCTCCAAATTTCACAAGTTTTGGTCGTTCAATCCTTGGTATGAAACACGATCCAATGGTTCACTCCATAGACCATGAAAACTTCCCAAGTCAAGACAAAGAAATCGAAGCTTTTCAACGACAGGTAACTCAAAGATTTCTTGATTTAGCTTCAGTTGATTCGAATGAGCTTTTGTCTGTTTCTTGGATTTCCAACCTCCTTGATGTTTTCCTCTGTTGTCAAGAGGAATTCAAAGCTATATTGTTCAACAACAAGTCTGCTTTGAGTAAACAGCCCATGGATAAACTTGTTTCTGATTATTTCGAAAGGAGTGTAAAGGGTTTGGATGTTTGTAACGCCATTAGAGATGGGATTGAGCAGATCAGACAATGGCAGAAGCAATTGGAGATTGTTTTATGTGCTTTAGATAATCAGAAAAGTCTTGGAGAAGGTCAAATTAGACGAGCGAAGAAGGCTTTGATCGATTTAGCAATTGGGATGCTTGATGATAAAGAATCATCAAGCACGAATCTTTCTCACAGAAACCGATCGTTTGGCCGTTATCAAAAGGATTCACAACGACACAAGTCTTTGAAGCATTTCAGATCATTATCTTGGAGTGTTTCAAGATCTTGGTCAGCTTCAAAACAGCTGCACGCAATTGGGTACAACATTGTTCCCCCGAAAACTAATGAAATCATCGCCACCAATGGGCTTTCGATGGCTGTTTATACAATGAGTTATGTCTTCTTATTCGTGATGTGGGCTTTAGTGGCTGCGATTCCTTGTCAAGATCGCGGGTTACAATCCCATTTCAATGTGCCCAAGAATTTCATCTGGGGTGCGCCAATCCTCTCGTTGCATGAAAGGATTTTGGACGAATCCAAGAAAAGGGAAAGGAGAAACACTTGCGGGCTTTTGAAGGAGATTCATGGGATTGAAAAATCAGCTCGTTATATGAACGAACTGACTGATTCAGTTCAGTTTCCGTTCGGGGAAGAAAAGGAACAAGAGGTCAAGAAACGAGTAGAGGAGTTGAGGATTGTTTATAGAGATTTAAAGAACGGATTGGATCCGTTGGAGAAACAAGTGAGGGACGTATTTCATCGGATAGTAAGAAGTAGAACCGAAGGACTTGATTCGATTGCAAGAGGCAATGAATGATCAATGGTTTGAGTTCTCTTCAAATCCATTTGTATTTGGTCTATTAGATCATTGTGTTGTGAAAATAGAAATAAAAAAAGTCTTTTTGTGCAAGAACTAGGGATCTTGAACACATTATGAATATGTAAATGTTAAAAACCACTATATATTTGGCATTTTGTTCTAAATGTAGTGTTTTCTTTTTGACCTCATTGCAACAATGATGGTTTGTTTTCGTGTAAAATGCCAACGTAACGGTTGAAAAGCTCAATAATCGGGCGTTTTTGGACCTTCTTGCTCCGTGGGTCGCCCTCGGGTGTGTTGTGTTTCTATCGGGTATTTGAATCACGTGTTCTCCATCAAACATTATTCGTTGTATATTTCACGTATTTGGCCATCACTCAGCAGACTTTGACAATGTGTGTATGTCTAAAGGACGTGTTAAGGTCTCATATCCATTAGCATTAGAAGTGGATCAATTAAAGTTGATTTACTTTATGAAATTTGATTGTGATGGAGGGTTTTGTTTTGGAAGTGAAATTCTTGGTTGGGTTGAAGGTGGCAAAAGAAAAAGAAAATGGTGTTGAATACAAAATTCCATGGAAATTAGGGAAGTTGAGAGTGGCCATCTTCAAACTTTGACAAGAACCCTTCTTTACTCACCCATTTTGACCAATTCATTGAAGCTTCTATGGAATTCAACTTTTATAAAGTTGACTTTGACTTTACCCATCCATAATTTAAGGGGTATTATCTCATTCTTGGATATATTCAAACCAGAGTATTAAGGAGTAATATATATATATATATATATATATATATATATATAAAGAGGTTGGTTATTATACAACCTTGGTCATTTGTGCAACCAATACAACCCAATCTCAACCGTCCATTTCATTTGATTAATATGTGATTTTATAGAGATTTTGATTATTTCCTAATATAAAGTATTAATCATAATTAATGAACCGTATTCATCTTCCATAAATATTTAAATCATAATAAATGAACTCTAATCATTTCCATAAATATTTCAATTTATTGGGTTGCATTGGTTGTACAAATGCGATAGGTTGTATTTGAAATAAACCCTATATATATATATATATATATATATATATATAGATTTTGTTTCAAATACAACCTATTGCATTTGTACAACTAGTACAACCCAATAAATTGAAATATTTATGGAAATGATGAGAGTTCATTTATTATGATTTAAATATTTATGAAAAATGAATTCAGTTTATTAATTATGATTAATATTTTATATTAGGAAATAATCAAAACTTTTATAAATTATATATTCATCAAATTATATGGACGGTTGAGATTGAGCTGTATTGGTTGTACAAATGTAAGAGGTTGTATAATAACCCATATATATATATATATATATATATATATATACCTATCATTTGCTAAATGTACAAATCATTATTTTTTATATTAACCTGGATATCTAATACGTTATGTGAGTTAACTAATTTTAAGGTGACCACCCGTTTTGCAGGTAGCCTGGAGTTAGCGCATTTGAACCTTCATGACCACAAGAGTATTTTTATTCTTCTTTGGATTCGAACCTGGAACCTCCAAACACTTTTGATATTTGGAGGCAAAGCTCAAACCGATCAGGCACTACTTAGGGTGCTCAAAAACCCGACCAACCCGATCAACCCAACGCGAAATAACTCAACCCGATGTCCAATCGGATTGTAAATTTTTTAAATCGTAAGTATTGGGTTGATATTAGTTTATTATTATTTGAACCCAATCCAACCCGATGAACCTGATATCCTTTGATTTCTTAGATTTAATATGATTGTTGAGTTTATATGAATATATATATTAGACAATTACATTATCACGTACGCTCTTTATATATACATATCTTCAATCTATTTCATCTCTATATAACTCATTAGTATGTATGTTCAGTAACTGTGAACATATACATGTAAATTGAGAAAATTAATTGAATTTTATATATGTAAGCAATATGGATAAGTTGTGTCAAATGGTTGATAATAAAAAAGAAATTATGAGTAGAGAAATAACATATTCAAGGTTAGAAAAATATTTTAATATAACAAAGTATCAATCTGATCAATCCGTACGGTTTTGGTTGGGTTGCATTTTGGTTTGGTTTGGTTTTGGTTAAGTTAAGATTTTTCAAATCTCAAGCATTAGGTTATGTTAAGTTAAGATTTTTCAAATCTCAAGCATTAGGTTGGATTGTTCAACCCAATTAATCGAACCCATGAGCACCCGTAGCACCATTCTTATGGTTACAAATCATTATTATGTACATCTACACACCAAAAAAATATTTTAATATAAATAAACATATCTATTTATTATTATTTTATTTTATTAAAACTTAATAATTATAATGTGCTAAGTATTTTCTATAATTAGTAAGTATTATTATTTAACGCTTAACATAATCT